ATGAACATGAATTTGAAGGATGAGTTCGGGTTTACACGAAACTAGAATCACAAAACTCCCTCCTCCCCCCCATGAAAGCAAAACAAACAAACAAACAAACAAACTCTTTAACTGCTCCTGCTTGTTTGAGCCAGAGTGCTAGTAAACAGCACAGACAAGACCTGAGCACTAAGGTTTAACATTCCTCACCCAAAGCACAGTGATTGCAGAGTCTTGGCACTGTCACTTTGATGTCCTGGTGCCTTGTTATGATGCTGCCACTCACATCTCTAAACTAAAACCTTGGAAAGTCACTGCCAGAGTGTCACGCTGCCACTAGGTGGGGTGGGCTGAGTTATCACAAAGCAATTTCTTAAATATCTTCAGCTTGCAAGATTTACAGAATGTTGACATAAGAATAGTAACCCAATAATGTGCTGTTAAAACAATCTTTATTTAATGAGGTGGCAGTGGTGATGTTTTGTTTCTTCTTCTCACAGGGCAGTTAATCTTGATGGTCTCTAGAAGGAGAGAAGAACCCCAATCCTAACTCCAATCTGGTGAAGCAACATAAATTGGAAAAAGCAATGGTTGCAGTTGACCTTCTGTTTTCTTCTTTACTCCTTTCTCCTTCTGTTCTAATCCAATCCACATTTTTATTACACAATGGCTGCTTTTGTGAATTTCAACAGCTTGCTAGCCTTTGGGTTCAGCATTCACTTTAGAAATTTTCCAAGATGTTATCAGTTATGATTTCAACATTTGTTTGAATGCCTGAAAAATCAATTTAAGGTAAGTCTTCTAAGTCCTACAGAGTAAAAATTGATTATGCATAGCAGTGGTACATAGAGTTTATAGCAGTATCACATAAGCTTCTGCAATGAACAGTGCTTTGCTTCTGATGATCCTTTGAATCTTCCAATGTGCCATCTGGACTAGAGAAATACAATGTCTGGACTAGCTTCATTCTTAAACTTTAACATTACTCAGGGTGATGTCATATTAAAAATTCTTTTAAAAATATGTTTGCATTAAGATTCTCACATATTCTATACACATTGCATAGAAAAAGGTGATAATGAATAAACCACTCTCCTGTCAATTTTACTTGGTAATTAAAAAGTTAGAAATGGGTACCTAATAAGCAGTTAGGATAAGTATGCATAATCAGTATTTTTCACAGGATTTTTACTTAAATCTTTTGGGATGCAGCTTTCACTCTGTTATGACCTGCCCTTAGCTCTCAAAATTCAATAGCATAAAATGTCAAAATAAGAAATGTTTCCACCCTGGTAATTGCACGATATGCTGTGACTTGTCCAGACTGCAGCTTACCTCATGGCTGATTCAGTGCTAGAATAGTGATAAACAGTCTGGATGGTAGCCCAGACAGTGAGGGTGGGTAGTGGTCATGATTTGATGGTATATATAAAAAAAAAAACATCAGGTAGTAAGGGGATTTTCTTGCTAGAGTGCCTCTTCTGGATCACACTGATTCTGCCCAAACCTGCTCATCAGCTTGTTGGACTTCCACAGAAGGAATCTTGTCTATGGAGTGCCAAATCAGGGCGCCCAACATCTGAAGAAAGCCTCTCCCTGCAGCACAGAACTTACAGCAGATTCACAGTAACATTACAATGTCTTCTTCCACCACGAGCCCTCACTCTGCTTCTGCTGAGCCTTTGAACCTCTCTGTTAGCCTTGTGAGGTAATTCAGATAGGAAGCATGCCTCATTTCTCCTCCCGTTGCCTTTACAGTCCAAGAAACTAGGGAGGGTCTCTTCTGAGACATTTGCCATGCCCACATTACTTCTGCGGGCTAAACTGCCTCTTATCTGACCGCTGCCCTGGCTGTGACTCTTCCCCCTGTCTCCCAAGGTCATTCCCACATGCCATTACACTCTCCTTGTGCCCTGGGGCTAGAATAATTCAGCATGAGGACTGATGTGGTCTTCATGAGTCAATGAGTCTCCTGAATCTTTCATCTCACCCCGGAAAAATCTTCAGCCTACAGGCCCTAGCCTCTCCTCTGCTTAATTTCACCTTTTCAGCAAACTGAGGTGGCAGACAGCTCTTTTCAGGTCCCTTGAATGGGCAGCAAATTGCTTTTATTTGTTTGCCAGGCAACAGGAGAAGAGCTTGTAGGATTTTCTGCCTCTGGTGCCAAAATAACTTGGCTGCCTTACTTGGGTATCAAGCTTATGGCCCTTGATGTGCAGGAGGAAGATGATAAGGGTGCCGTGCGGTAATGTGCCGTGCGCATCTAAATAAAGCCCTCGGCCCTTCCTCAGCAGCTGGAAGAGAGTTCCCAGTGCCAGGACCGGGAGATGGGAAAAGGTCCCTCTGCTGAATAGCCGCTGCCTCTCTACAGAACCGAGGACGGCAGCCAGCCAGCCAGCCAGCCAGCCCTATGTTTCCCCGTGGAGGGATATTTGCCCCATCTTCAGCTTCTGCTCTCGTCTCCCTCTCCCTCTCAGAAGGTGGCTTCGTTGGCTCCCCTCTCGTTCCTTCAGCTCTCGCTTGCCGCCCCGTCTCCGCTTCTATCTCCGCTTGCACCACCCACTACTTCGCTCGGCCCTCGAGGCCAGACCAGGCTCCGCCAATGAGGAGGCTCAGCGACTGGGGAGGCGTTAAGGGGCGGCGGCGGCGGCGGTAAGAGCGGCAGCTTCAATCCGGAGCGCAGTCCGGGCCCTCGGCGAGGGGCGCGCTGGCGCCAAGTCCGACTCTGCGTCCTGGAGCGCGCGCGGGCGGGAGGATGCGCTGCTGGCGGCTGCCGCTCCCTGCTGGCTCCTTTTTTTTTTGCTTTTTCGGCTGTGGCCGGGTGGGGGGCGCGCCCTCTCCCCGCCCCGGCTGGG